TTCTTTTTGTTCTTCTATTTCTGAAGATGTCTATTGCCCTTTGCAGTCTTTGTTCTTATCTGCTCGAGCACTGAGCATCTCCATGGTTATGAGCCTGTGATAGGTCAAAAAAGAGGCAACAATGTGATTATCGTTTGGTTATCTCATTCCCTATTGAATGCATTGTTAGCGACAAAGCCTTTCCATGGCAACAACTGGCTGTGAGTGGCAGCGAGTTTGTTGATATCTGAGTGGAAAGCAGAGCTGGAGGGCTAGTGCTGATGTACTGTCCAGTGACCTGGAGTTGTTTTGAGGGTCTGCAGTGCAACGTATCATGCTTCCTATGACTGTATTACCATTATGAGCATTTAACTGGAACTTCAAAAGACTCATGTATGGATGGTGTCCATTTACACTGTGTAAGAAGCAACACATAGACAACATTCAATTAATGTGTTTGGTATATCAGTCTGACCAAAAATAAAAAAATGATATAATTCCTTAAATCAGAAATACAGCTGCCATTTAATAATCGTGGTACAGCATCACTGTATCACCAAATGCCAACCGAAATACAGTTATAGCTGAGAAATGAGGCAAGAAAAGCATGCAGCTGAAAATGTGATGTTCATATTTGCATAACTTATTCATTACTGCACCTCAGCAACTTTCATTTGTGCCGTTAATGAACCGAGCAGAATAAAGACCGAAGGCATTCTGTCATAGCACTGAGATTATTACAGTTTTTTCTCAGTCGCTTTGGTGCATTTCTCACATCACTGTAACTGTAACTGTTACAGTGATGTAACTGTTGTTGCATTTACACAACAGTTAATGACGTTCTCAAAACAATTAGTACAAACTGCAAAACCTATTTGATAACCTGCAAAAGCGTGTCGCTTGCTCAAAATGGATAGCTCATTCCACAAAAGCAAGTAATCATGTCAATGAAAGTGTCAGTGTCATCAAGATGAAAAGTCCTGACACCATTGTTTATGAACAAGATAGTCAAATGGCTTTGTCATGTTTTCATTATGACAGTTTACTCTGTAAATGTTTTCCAATGCAAAAAATTCAAAAAAGATCTCGGTGACAAAATGCTTAAGACAGCACTATATACTATTTGCACAGCCATTTAAAAACTACAGTAAAGTTACTGTATTTTGTGAGGTAACTGAGTACAAGACACTGAATATGTAAGTTTCACATTTTTACTGCATGCTGTTTGCAATTCTAATTTGTTCACAGCATTGTGCAAAAGAAAAAATATACCCTTATTTACAACAAACATAAACTCCCTTTGGGTAGAGCTGTGCACAACTGTAAACAATATTGCAGTATACATATTGGAACTGAACATACAGCATACATAGTACTGTAAATCATTCATGCACATCCCTTCTCATCAGTGAATGCTGAGGTTCACCTGAGAGAAATTGTTCAATTTAGGTTTAAAAAAGATTTTAAAAAAGATTAAAAAAGATATATAATTTTTTTTATTTGCTTGACAGATTTTGACAACTAGTTCAACATGTTTGTATGTGATGACTCAAGCAATGACATGAGGACTATTAGTGATATATGGAATGACTATTCAGCATTCACAAGTATAGTTAATTTTGACTGACATGACATAAGCAAATGATAATGTTATAAAACAGCAGAGAGTTGTATGAAAGCAATTGATGCATGTCCAAAAGCATTTGCAATTTGTTGGAAGGAATGAGAAACTGCTACTATGATGTGCACAAATGACTAAATGTTGTGGAGGTTGAACTAACTGTTGTGCAAATGTAAATAGTGATGTGAGAAATGCACCAAAGCGACTGAGAAAAACTGTATTAGCAAATATTCCCTTAATTTAAACGTTGAAGTACAGGACTGAACCTGTAAAGAGTCATCATGGATGACCATGATAGACCCTTATAAGTACTTTAGAGCAAAATATTTCAACAAAGCTAGTTAAATATTAGTAATTTTCTTCCTCCATGTCTCAATGAATCTATAAATCTGATCAATTTGTTTATTTATTTTTGCATGCATGCAATGTGTATTATAAGTCTTCTGTATAGAGAATAATTCAAAGGTCATTTCAATCTTCCCCTTGTTTGCTACAGAACCAGCTTGCATGTGTGTGTGTCTTCTGTAAACATTTAATGTGTAAATCTATGAGTAGCGCTCATTAGAAGGTGAGATCTTATTGGAAGTGAGCTATTGATAGTCCACATCTGACAGGTTCATTTTTTACCAGAGTCTCATGTCTATGGTCAACACTTTTCATTTCACACCACACGCCATATTCACACATTCACATGTAAACATTTATTCTACAAGACATGACTGCCAGGTTAGATGTACTACAAAAAGGAAGATAAGCGGCACAGTGCTGGGGGTAATGAGACAGTTCAAATGTAAATGGAAGTGTAAGAGGAGAAAGAGAGAGAGAAAGAAAGAGAGAAAGCTTGAAATATATTGCACAACTAATGCCAGTTGTGTGAGAGAAGATGGATAAATGGATAAATGATCAGGGAGAGGGACAGATATACATTTATATAGATAGATAGATAGATAGATAGATAGATAGATAGATAGATAGATAGATAGATAGATAGATAGATAGATAGATAGATAGATAGATAGATAGATAGATAGATAGACTGAGATGGATGGATGGATGGATATATGGGATATATGGATCTATATATATGGATATAGAGGGATTGGTAGACATTAAAATATAGATGTATGGAATGATAGATGCATTGATGGATGGATGGATAGACAGATAGAGGGTTAGATTTAGTTGGATGGATGATGAATGGATGGATGGACGGATAGAGGGATAGATATTAGGGATGTAACGTTTCAAATTACTCACGGATCGGTTTGTATCACGGTTTTAGCATCACGGTTTCCATATGGTTCGATATGTGTTAAGTTCAGAGAAAAATGACTACTGTCAAATAAAAAATAAAGAAAATATAAGAACAAATAATCAAACTACAAGGAACAGCATTAATAAATACAATAGAGCAAAGATAAAAAAAACAACAAAATAAAACAGTGCTTTTCAGGTTATTTTGGAATCTAACAAACAGTAGTTTTCTGGTACAGAAATTGAATAAAGTAATCAAATGTAAAATATCATTGCATATAATCTTCACTGCAAATATTAAAAAGAGATTAATCATTATTAAAGTTAATAAAGTTATTGAGTCAAGAACAGTGAGTGATTTCCTTGTCTCTTGTTGTTTGATTAACATTAAAAACAGACAGCTGGAATATTAGGCTGTTGTCACTTTAAGACATAATGCACGGATCCAGTACACTGATACACATGCGTTGTCTTTCCCGACTGTTTACGTTCACTTAAGACATAACCTACTAAGTTTGCTAGGATACTCGGCAAGACGGGCATGTTGACAATTTTTGTTTAAATTTGTCCATTCAAGAGCAAGACTTGAAAGAGAACTCAACTCAATATTTGCGCACTGTCTGAGACGAGGTTTACCGTGTGCGGCTAAGATGAGTGCACACATAAATCTTCACACAGCGTGTGCGAGTATTCTTTCACGTCTTTTTGCGCTTGAATCTTTAAATTGGCAAGGCTTAAATAAATTTAGTTTAAACACAGATAGCAACATGTGCTGTTCAGGTCTCACCTCTGCGTACGGGTGATGACAACATAAATGGCTTGTCATATATTAGAGCATTTTTAAACTTTGTTCAATAGGCTATAGCCAACGGCACTTCTATTGAACAAAGTTTACAAAGATTACTTTTTTTGTCCACGTTTTTTTGATTATCGCTGTTGTAACGTATTGGGAAGCCAGAATGCGTATCCATCGACATATATCTGTGTCTGTTTTACGCATTGTTATTTTCAACAAACCATATTATAGATGTCATCAGATTTAAGATGTGGGTGGAGAACGGTACGGTTTGATTTTTTTTTATTGAGAACCGTTACACCCTTAATAGATGAACAGATAGATAGGGATAGATTGACAAGATAGATAGATTTATTGATTGATATAGATGGACAAATAGAGGGATAGTTAGACGTTTAGATATAGATGGATGGATAGATGATAGAGGGATAGATAGACGTTTAGATATAGATGGATGGATAGATGATAGAGGGATAGATAGACGTTTAGATGGATGGATGCATGAATAGATGGACAAACAGATAGATGGGATAGACATGATATTTTATTCCAGCAGTCATGATATTTTAACACCGGAAGCATAATTATTTTCTCAAGGTAAGTTTGTGTGTTTTATATATTTGTCTGAATATTTTCCTAATCTTGCCTGCTATTTCCATGAATCACATTTTCTTTGGGCCTCAAGAAAGTGGAGTGTGTGTATTTGTGTCGCCTATCACATTACATAAGCTCCCTGATTCATTTTGGTAGTTGCAGATGCAGGTGCAGAAGAAAGAGGGAACACCTGAGGAACTTTCACTAAACCTCTGACTCACACTTCTGTCTCTCTCTCTCTCTCTCTCTCTCTCTCTCTCTCTCTCTCTCTCTCTCTCTCTCTCTCTCTCTCTCTCTCTCTCTCTCTCTCTCTCTCTCTCTCTCTCTCTCTCTCTCTCTCCCTCACTCTCTCAGCACAGCTGGATTGAACAGAATGATCACTGACTTGAGGAGGACCAGACTCTGCTAGCTCACACACAGCCAGAGAGAGCAGAGAGAGGGAGCACGCGAGAGAGAGAGAGAGAGAGAGAGAGAGAGAGAGAGAGAGAGAGAGAGAGAGAGAGAGAGAGAGAGAGAGAGAGAGAGAGAGAGCATGTGCTCAACTAGCAGGTCATCCAGCTCATAAAATCTGACAACGAGAACAGAGGGGAACAAGAAGACTGCGCGTTCTGAAATGCACGGATTATGGAAACCACGTTTTATCTATACACCTTACATTTCCAGTTTTCAGGCTTTTTGGTGACAGTAAAAGAGTAGCAGGAAGACTTCAGGAGTGTTTTCAAACTGGACAGAATGAAGCAAACCTCTGGACTCGTGGCTGTATGAAAGATGCCATGAAGAAAAGAAGGATACATCACCTCTAACTGAACTTGTTTTTGACAGTCTATCAGTGTTAATAAGGGACATTATGAACTTGCATGCCAACATTTCAAAACCTGTGTCCAAAAGCATCTTCACCTCTTCGAACCTGATGCCCTTTGACCCAGACACCTGGACACCGGACACGGACATCATGCTGGGTAATGTGGTCCGTAACAGTACGTTTGGCTGTAACAGAAGTTGGGCTGATACAGAAGAATCTCTCCTGCCCAATCTATCCATCATCGGCACTTCCAGTGAAAGGAAAGAACCACTGTCATGGCTAAGGTGCAACGGCGAGACGAGTAAAGAGGAGTTAGTTCGGAAAAACTGGGTTGCACTGCTGATTTTGATTGTGGTCATTGTTACGGTTTCTGGAAACATTCTAGTAATCTTGGCTGTCAATCTGGAACGAAAACTGCAAAATGCCACCAATTACTTTCTCATGTCACTGGCAGTAGCAGATATGCTTCTGGGACTTCTGGTCATGCCTGTCTCCATGGTGACCATTGTGTATGGTGAGTCTGCTTTGATTTTGACAGCTGCAATAGGTGTGTACTGTTGTGATTGATTATGTAGGCAGTGATGTTTGGATGTAAGCTTTCACTTACACAGTGTTGAATGTTCTTGTGTGATTATGAATGACAGTAATGTGTGGTGATCTAGTAATGTCAATGTCAAGGTTTCAGAAGTTTACTACTAGTGATTGGAAACCATATGAAGAGTTATTGCCATATGAGTTTCCACTGGAAAAGTTGGAAGTGAACTTATGGCTGATGTTAATAAGGGACAGAAGAAATTTTCCCACCTCCTACTTGAAAATAATGACTGGAACGGTGCTCGGAAGTCGGACAGGGATTAGATTAGATTGATCAATCCTGACCTCAGGGAGAAGCGTCATTTGATATGGAAAAGAGGTCGGGCGACTGTTGAGCATTTGTTGTTTGTAATGTTTTTTGTAATGTTGTATTTAAAGGTTTTTTTTTTTTTTGCTGTTTTTTATAGTGACCTTTGCTTTTGCCATAATCGGCCTAATTGACATGAGTTGTGGCACTGTCTTGTGGTGTATTTGGATATTCCCCTTCCAACAAAAACAAGATTGGAGCGGTGAAAGTGTGATTTCTAGGGATGTGCAAGACTAGTACATTGGAAATAGTCTATTACATCTAAAAAATAGTTTTACACATTTATGTTTTGCTTTATATTTTTACAAAGGCTACGTTCAAATATTGTTAATGACATGTTAATGTTACGTTTTAACAATAATACGTTATTTAGAAAATTGGATAACTGGTGCAGAAAACAATGTCATTTTCTTTTCACTTCAGGCCTTGCATGCGTTTTCATTGACAGCGGAGTCAGAGGAATATTCACTGGAAAAATGAGGTGTGGGAGTATTTTGTTTAGAAAAAAAAAAAAACCTTAATATTGTGGTGGCTAACGGTAATGAAGTGAATGCTTAAGTTTTTTCAACATTGATCATAATGCAAGGCAAGCACATTGCATATATATATATATATATATATATATATTTCAGCACCATTCAGAATAGGATTTGACTGTTTGATTCACATTGGGATCGCATATGCACATACTGTTTTTTGGTTGTCTTCCAGGGGTTTGTTTACTTTTAGACTAGTTGATAGATGGTTGCATAATCTATGTTTGATAAAAACACATTAGTAGTAGCACATCCCTAGTGATGGCACAGCCTTGAGACAGACGTAATTGGACTAGACAATTTACCTCAGTAACCCTTTGAATTATAATATATAAAATCGTTATAAAAAACTTAAGAGAAAACAAGTTATGCACATGCATTATTTCTATATTTCTTCAATGTAACAAATCTAAATCAATCAAATCCCCATTTTATACTTGAAAAACTGTTTGAGTAAAGTAAGGTATATGGTGTAATAGCACAGAATTTGAAATGACATTGAACATGACTGCAGCATACAGTATTTGTGGCATTTAATGGTAATTTTCTAGTATACTATTCTGAACCCCAGTTTAAGGTATTTTAAATGACAGAAAAGTTTTGATTCACTGGTTAGTTTTTTTCACTGTGCTGATATTTCTTTTTTATATATACTGCATATATAGGGTCATGTTTATTTATCATTTCCACATTGTGTTGTTAATTTTGATTCATTATCTTTCCTGTTTCATTAGGGAAATGCTAATTTCTGTGTAATTTGTTATTTGTCTACTTAAAGTGGATGTGTTAATTGATCATTAGTGGCCTTGTATACACTGACGAGTGTATTTTCATGCAAAGGGCTTGCTGGATGACATTGTAGATTATTTTAATTGCTCCTCTATTTTATAATGAGTCCTAACACATAAAAAATGCATGGTTTAGACACAAGCTTTTATATTAGTTTATGATGGAGTTTGAAGGTGTTACTATTCGAGTGTGTTTTTCTGATGAAGCTTGACAGTGAAACGTCATTGTCACGCTGTATTTCAGGCTGTTATCAGTGTGCCGAGGCAGCCGTTTTGAAGAACTCAAAGAGACAGAGAGGTTAAAATCGCACAAGAGTGTGCATGAGAGAAATATGCCACACTCTTCAACGTTTCCATCCCTCTCTGTCTCTCTTCTGCTCATTTGTCCCCTCTAGATACTGTATGCTGTGGGAAGTATTAGTACTATTAGTCAGACTGTGGATGTGAATGAATGACATCATGTCACGGTTTTAGGACAGAGTCATGTGTTACAGCTAAAACCTTGTTAACAATTCAAGGTATGTGTGTGTGTTAGTAAAAGGACCTCTGCTGCTTGGTAAATGCATTTGTTAAACGGTCAAACAAAAGAACCCATTAAAGGTGATGATGTGGAGGGAGAATTTTGAAAGAAAGTCTCATTATTTTATGCTGCGTAAACGCTGGACTGATGCTATTCAAATCCACTGGATGCTGGTGAGATTCGCATCTTTGAGCACCAAAATTACATATTTAAATGTTGTTTCCTTGAAAAAAATGTCTTCATGCCATACTATCGCTTGAATAACTACACCCTTGTCTCATTAAGTATTCATTGTTCTATGAATATGCAAATTAGCTCCGCCTCCACTCACTCACACCAGCTCAGAGATCCACTCGTTGATGATCACACGTTGACGTGATTGGTTACAAGGTTGTTTGTGACATTAGAAACACCAGCAATTTCAAACCGTGTTTTTGAGTCTTTCTTTGGTTCTCTGCAGTTTTAAAGGGGTCATATAATGCCATTTTTATACAAGTTAATTTGATTCATTAGGGTCTAAATGAAAAGTTTGTAATATACTTTAATTAAAAATTCTCATTAGTATTGTAAGAAAACACTCATTTTACCTGGTCAAAACAGCTCTATTTTCAGCACGCCGTTTCAGTGCATATGCCTTTAAATGATAATGAGCTTCGCTCACTCCGCCCCTCTTTACTGTGGGCGTTTTGACACAATGCAAGTGGAGTGTTGCCTTGACAACAGTTGAGGGTATATTTTGGAGAAAGAATGGAGTTTCTGAGGACACATCTGTGCAACATCAATTTGTACCGGAGTCAAACCCGGAACAAGATGACGGCCGCAAAGAAGTTCGACAATTTAGGCTCGAACAGGACGTTTCTGAATGGTTGGTTAACGTAATGTCACTTTGATCTATCTTTGTGTACTGGCAGGGTAGAGTAACTTAGTGAGATGTACGAACGCTATGTGTTTAACTTACGGATGTAACGTTATACGTACTCAGGTGGAATAACACAATAACCATAACCCGTTGTTCATTATAAACGTGGGATTATGAATTATATTGAGAACGTCGTACATAGAAAACATGCCGTAATGTACCCTGAGTGTAAACCTTAGCCGCATTCATCGTGAAGCGTGCAAGCGATTTGCAAAGATTAATATAAAGGTTAATACAACTTTACACTCACTTCTTCTGGAGGTGCAGGAGGGACATGAATAGTTGGTACCGATTCTTTTTTCAGGAGCAGCTTCTTAGCAAAACCAGCTTTATACTGACCCTCATTTATAAAGCAGTCTGGTGAGAAATGATTCGCGCAAACATGAAAGCATTGACGTTGCTCGTGGGGAATATTCCCTTCGAAAACAAAACTCAGCCACTGCGTCTTCAGCGGTTCGGATTTAGGAACATCAAAATGACTGCTGTGTTCGTTATTACACCCAAGAACAGAACACCACAATCGCTTAGACGCCATTCTGCTCCAGTGTATCAACAATAGCGGACTATGATGACAGCTCACTCAGTGCTGGTCTGTGTTGAAACGCTGCCGTCAATCAACAATCGCGGGAGGGGCGTCCGACCGTGTGACGTCACACGGTCAAACGGCTCAATTTAAGGCAGGGGAAAACATATGAGGAGATTAAAACAAAAACACTGGATAGATTTTTATCATTATATGATGGTTGTGTACAGGCACTGCCAGCACACATTTCGGTACAATCAACTTGAAAAAGTGCATGTACCATTATATGACCCCTTTAAGGAGAAAATACTCAGCAACGATGTTGATTTATGAATTTGCAAATGGTTTGTTTCAAAGCATATTAAAAACATCACATAGACATAAACAACATTAAAAGCTTGATTTTCACCACAGGGGGACTTTAAGCAATTTGTCTTGGTCTCCTGGCTGGCTGTGCATTTTTGGTTTTATTGTTCAGGAGAAATTACTATTGTTATTTTGCCTGTTAATTGGCTTGATTAAACTCTTTGTCCTTGTGTTTGTGAGTCACAATGTCTGTTCCATTCTCCTTTTCTTTTTGTCTCACATGAATGCATACACAAACACAACACATATTTTCCGGAGAATGTTGCAATGAATTATAGCTTCTATCATTTTTTTTTTCAAATATATGAAAATATTATATGAAAATATACTTTTAAGAATATATGCAAAATATTGTGAATTAATACCATGTATTTAGAGAAATAATCTTGTTTAGTTAAGCTTTGGCACATAACTCACCGCGGTAGGAATGCACCGATATTACAATTTTACCAATATTTGATGATTATTTTTTATATTAATGTTATATTAATAAATGGTCATGTATTTAGAATGTACTAAGAATTTACATTTTTCTATTGATATATTTTCATATTAAAAATCTATATGGTTTTGTCTGAAATTTAGACATCACAACTTCATAATGTACAATATGAAAAATAAATTGATTTGCTAAATATTAAAATGTTATTAAATTATTTGTGTTTAACTTTGATTTACTTTAAGTGAGCGTTAGATTACAGCCAAGTTAATCTAAATGTAAAAGTAGGGGAAATGAGCTGCACAACTAAATATCCATAATATTGATTGATACAATAAATTCAGAAATCTAATAGAAGTGTGTGTAACCGATATGGTACTGTTATATTGTGCATCCCTATACAACGGTGTTATTGTTATAGGACTATTTATATACTATTATAATACATAATATGTTGAATTAGCTTTTTTTTCCCCTTTTAATTTTACTTTCAATTTTAGTCATTTTGTTCTATTAATCTGT